GACAGTGGCAGGGATAGCAGAGTATGGAGGCTCTAGTGGGGGATCCTTAAAATCTGCCTGATGACTTTATATCCATGCTCAGATGGCAAGGAGCTCAGAAAGTAACCGACTGTGACTAATAATAATCAGATATATAGAGATTAGAAATGCATGTGCATCTTAGTGTTAATTGTACTGAAAATGAATTTTTCTGTTTGAAACTGTATATTTTAATAGTGAAATGGAGATCTTTTTTAAAGTTTAAAACCTCTTTTAATTTTATGTCTTATAGGGTTTATACTGAGTACAATATTGTATAACTGTATTGATTCAACTGTAAACCTAAAAATTTACAGCCAATTTTGAAGGAGATGCATCTTAACTCTGGAAATTGTTATTGAATATGTCAATGCTATCACAAGGAAATGCTTCTTCTGATTGTGTGGTTATTAAATAAATAATTTTAAAAAATCTCCATTTCATTTTAGAATATATTGTTCCTTGCAGAAAGACTCATTGTTTTTGCTACTGTCTTGAACACTTTTAAAAATACTAACTGTTCTAAGAAAAATTTCAAGTTTTATAAATGTATGTATGTCTGTGTCATATACATGTGTGTCATGTGTGCATAGATGTCCTAGGAAGCCAGAAGAGGACATCAGATCCCCTGGAGCTGGAGTTACATGTGGTTGTGAGCCACCCAACATGAGTGCTAGGAATTGAACTTAGGTTTCCTGGAAGAAGCAAGTGCTTGTAAATGCTGAGCCACTTTATCAGCCTCAGTCATTTTTATTTCTTCTTTTTAGAACTCGCTGTTGAGCTTCATAACTCTCCTTTTTTGGGGATTTGTTTTTTTTTCTTGATGCTTATTTTTGTGAGTTTTTTGCGTATAGGTTGTCATCTTGATATTTATGTTTACGAGTTATTTGTATATTAGATATTACTCCTATGTGAGATGTGTTGCTAATGAAGGTTTTCTCCCCCAATGTTTGGATTGTACCACCACAATTAACCTAATAAGATAATCCCCCACAGGTCTGCCAAGAGTCTCCCAGGTGATTCTAGATCTCAAGTTGACAATTGAAATGAGCCATTGAGACTTCTAGGAAAGTAAGAACAGTATAATGAACCTATCATCCAGGCAAAGAAAAAGACTGTTGAACAAGTCTCCATGTACTTGCCACTTAGATCAGTTAAATTTTTTCCCACACTTCATTTATTCTTCTTTCTTTTTCTTCTTTTCTTCATCAGAGATTTTAAAACAGTATCTTGCCATTATACTATTTCACTCCTTCTTTCTTTAGCATGTAACTCTAACACATATACACATTTTCTTTTCCTTAAACATGATATCGTCACAGCTAATACACCTAAAATGTTTAGAAGACATTTGAGCTGTGAACAGATGGAGGCAAAGTGCTCCTCTGGCATGAGGTTTGGGAGTATTCCAGCAACCTCGCAGAAGTCTTACACTCAGCATATTTGTGGATAGCTGGGAGTCCAGTGTGACTGAAGTACAGTGACTGAGGCAAGGTTGTAACACATGAGGTTTTGTAAGCTCCCAAGAAAACTTTGGCTCACTTTGAGTCACCTGGGAAGCCTTGAAAGGATTTTGAATGCAAGAATGACAAGAACAACTTAGTGTTCAAAAGGTGCTCTGTTGAAAAGACATTTTAAGGGAGGGAAGCGTAGGAAGTTGTTGACTGAAAGGTGTGATTTTTCTTGTGGCTCATGTCAGGCGGCAGCAGTAGAAATGTCAAGAAGTGCTTGGATTTGGGGATGTTTTGAAGGTGCATTTATGTGGATTTCCTGACATGGAAATTTGCTCGAGGGAGAATCGGAAGATGTGAGGAAGACACGACTTTTTCTCTTGAGTGACTGCATGTGCAGTGCAGGTTTAGGATGCTGTTAGGAGCCTAGTCTTGGGAATGTGCTTTTGAAATAGGAGTGATATCTACTTGGTTATTTAAGGCTGGAGTTTCTAAGAATTGTTAGAGAAAGGGTAGTGTGTATTAATGCAGACTAAGATCCCTTCTCTTAAATACTTAAGCCAGAAAATTTTCAGGTTGTGGAGATTTTTGGATTTTGGAACATCTGCATGGACTTCAATAATTGAGATTCTGAACCTAAAATTCTGGAATCGAAAATGCTCTAAAAATAGAATCTTGAGTAGACTCAGTAAGTTTTTGGTTTTGATTTTTCAGATGAGGGATGCTCAAGCATATAATGGTCTATACTATAGTTTTGGTAGCTGGATGAGGGACTTCGGTGTTCATAAATTTGCAGTAAACTATTGAATTTGTTTTTAAAATTTTTTTATATTGAGATTTCATATGAGTGTTGTTTACATTATTTCTATCCCTCCCAGTCCCCCTCCATTTCCTTCTATGTTCTCTAACTCCCTCTCAAGTTCTTGTCCTCTTCTTTGTTATTGTTACAGATATAGACACACATTTATAAATACACACATCTGTAAATAAATAAAATGCCTTGCATCCATTTAGTGGCTCTTGAGTGTACCTGTGGGTTAGGGTTGCCCATTTGGGGTTAGCGAGTTCCTAGAGAAAACTGATTCTTCCGCTCAGCATTCATTGATTGTCTGTAGCTCTTTATCTTGAGGTGGGACTCCATGACATTCCTCCTATCCTTATTGGCATGTCAACTGGTTTTGTCTTTATGCAGATCTCGATAGACTACCATTTTGTGGGGATTTCACTGGTGCAGCTTCCCTATCATGTCTCAAAATGCATTAGCTAGCAGCAGGAGTCTTTTTCTTCTGGCGCTTACATTATTTCTGCCCCCTCTTCTGAGATGTTCCCTGAGCCCTGTAGAGTTGAATTTAGATGTGTCACTTAGGGCTAGGCATCTCACAGTTATTTATTCTATGCTTTTGACCAATTGTGGAACTGTGTGATAGTCTCTATAGATTACAGAAAGAAGCCTGGAGCATTCCTCCTCGTCCTCCTCATCCTTGTCCTCCTCATAGTCCTCCTCCTCCCTTTCTCCTCCTCTTCTTCCTTTTCCTCCCTTCTTTTAAAGAGCTCTTGTTCAGTAAGAAATTTCTTTTAAGAAAGTTAACTCAATGAGATTCCTGGTCAGTCAAGAATGAATAAGTTGGGTGAAATTTATAGCCAATGTATTATACTATTCTCCCTGTCATTATACAAACACTGTTCATGTGGAGTCCTCTTTTCTATACTGTAACTTGAGGGTGTTCCAGGTTTCTTTGTTAGTACTGACTAATTTAGAGACAGCCACAGGTCTGACAAGAGAACTTGCCTGTGGTGGCCTGGTAACTGCAGAGTGGAACTTGAAGACTCTAACATTCTTCCTTCCTTCCTATCCTGAACTCATTAAACTTTGGGTTAAAAAGAAAGCTCTCTTATGATATTTTCTGATTTGAACTATAGTGCTGGCTGGCTTGATGGCCTTTATTTTTTTCTTTTAAAATATGTTTTTTACTATTTGTATTTTTTGTGTATGTGTGTATTACCTGCATGTATGTCAGTGCACCCATGTCATGCAATGCCTGCAGAGGTCAGAAGAGGGCATTGGATCCCCTGAAACTGGAGTTAAGGATAGTTGTTAGCTATCAGATGGGGTGCTGGGCATCAAATCTAGGTCCTCTGGCCGAGCAGCCAGTGCTCTTAACCCTTGAGCCATCTCTTCAACACTATTTTTTCTTTTTAAAAAGGACTATTTTCTAGTTCCCTTTTGGATTATTTGCAGTTCTGGTTACATGTCTTACTGATATATCAATCTAGTGATGTGTGGCAGTTTCTACTGTTGTAGTAGCTGCCAGTGCTGTGACTGATTTTTGGTGTTTGGGGCCAGGGATCCTCCAGTGTATATGTTAACTAGTTTGAATGCAATCTGGATTCCTTGATCCACAGAGCAAGGTTTGTGACACAGTAAGAGCCTATTTACCAAAGAAGTTGGAGTAATTCTCTTTTGCACCTTCTCCCCTTTAAAAGCAAGGGAGTAAGGAAGCCTCTGACTCTTTTCTGCTTCTGTTTAGGAGATACACCGGAGATTTGAGAATGCCCCTGATTCTGCCAAAACAAAAGCCCTGCAAACTGTAATTGAGATGAAGGTAAGTGAGAATCTTTTTTTTTTTTAAATTTAAATTATATTTTTAAGAATTTCATACCCGAGTACTGTACTTACATCATTTCTACTCCTCCCTGTCACCTCTAATTCCTCATGTGTCTTTGCTTTTTTTTAAGTTTATGACCTCTTCTCCTATAGTTATTATCATTACACACACACACACACACACACACACACACATGTGTGCGCACGCACCCCTGTGAGCCCATTTAGTGTTGCTTATGTGGTTAAGGCTTACCACTTGAGATTTGATAACCTTTTGTGACTGGTCCCTGGAAAAGACTGATTCTCCCTCTCTCATCAGCTATTGATTGCCTCTTGCTCTTCATCTAGGGGTGGGGCCTTGTGAACTTTCTTCTGTCCTCATTGGCATGTTGACTGGTACTGTCATTATGCTGGTCTTGTTAAGGCAGCCTTATTATTGCTATTTCATGGATGCAGCTTCCATGTCATGTCTAAAAAACACATTTTAGTTTTAGTTCTCCTGCTATTATGATCTTCCCACCCCCTCTTCCGTAATGTTCCCTGAGCCTGAGGTGTAGGAGTTACATTGTAAATGTACAATTGGGACTGGCCACCCATGGTCACTTATTCTCTGCATTTTGACCAGCTGAATCTTGAGTTACCTTTTACTTTTAAGTGATTAGACCTGTCCATGTGTGTTTAGAAAGTGACTAGTAATAATACTTTGTTCATTTGGGACATTGAGAGGAAATTATAAGATAATGAAAAAGGGTTTTAAAAGAATTTTCTATTTCATTTCATTGTAGGACATAATTCAAATGAGACTAAAAGGACTGTCTAGTATTTCTTTTAATCAGCTGATCTCAAACTTCTTGAAGCAGAGAGGGGACTATTAGGCAAGAGGAAGATCAGAGGGAGGCGGAAGGGATGGATAAGAAAAGATAATGGGGTGAAACATGATCAAATTCTGTTACAAGCATGTATGAAAACTTCATGATGAAACTAGTTACTTTATACAACTGATAGATGCTAAAAAAGGGAAATGATAGAAAATAAAACTTCCTGGGCTGAGGAGATAGCTCTGTCAGTAAAGAGCTTGCAGTGCACCTGAGTTGGACTCCCAGAACCCTTGTAAAAACATCAGGGATAGTGGCATATGCTTGTAATTTCAGCACTGCAGAGGTGGAGACAGGCAGATACTTGGGACTTGCTGGCCAACCAGCCTTTTCTACTTGGTGAGCTCCAGGCCACTGAGAGACCCTGTCTCAAAAAACAGGGTAGGTGACACCTGAGGAACAACACGAGGAACAACACTGGAGTTCGTCTTCTGGTCTCCACATGTGTACAGCATGTATGTGTTGTATATCCACATGAACATTCATACACACACAGACACACACATTCATTTGAGGGCCCCAATAATTATCCTAAAGTTGACAGGCTTACTTCCTTTATTAAGAAAGAAAATTCGGCCAAAAACGAAGTCTCAAAATCGGTAGTTTGCCAGTTCTTCTTTCAAGGAAAAGCTGTATTTCATGAAAGAAGTGCCTGGCCAGCCCAGCTTGCATTGCAGCACAGGGCACCACATGGGCACCATTGCTAGGGGCAGCCATTGTACTATGGCATACAGTGTAAGTACTCCATGTCTGCTTCCCATTTTGTCATATGAAATATTTTAGAAGTGTACTTGAGGGAAAGTAATGTTTTTGCTGCTTAATCAAGGACACTGTTAAGTTTTTTTTTTTTCTTTTCTTTTCTTCATTTCCCGTGCCTGTCCTTGAAGAATGTATTGCTTCCTACTATGATTTAGTACTGGTGTCCTGATTTCTGCTAAGGCACTAACACTTTTGTCCACTGTTTCCTTTGTACCTTTAGTGTAAATGTCAACACGTTGGAAAAGTTGTATGATACTGTAGGACTACTGTGGAAATAGCTTTTACTTTTAGACTTTGTGTCTAGTGGACCCCCAGAATTTGAAAGACTATACTTTGCAAAACTGCTTTAAATTAGTGAATAGTTAAACATCTGAAATACAGTATGGTGGTAAAGGGTTTGGTTTCTGAGTTATATTCCTTCTATTTAAAATCTAGCTACACTTGATCATTGATACATGACATGGAGCAACCTCTCTGTGTCTCAGATTTTTAAAAAATCATTAAGCGATGATGAGTCTAATTCAATGGGTTGTTTCTGCAGTTAAAACATATAAAATACTTTGAACAGGAACTTGCACATAGTGAACACTAGATGTTAGGTGATACTGCTGTTTTTTTTAATAGATGCATGGTGTTCTGCTTTCCTTTCTTTTGCTATAATAGTTTGGCTTACAGTTCGAGTTCCAGTCCGTCACTGCAGGGAAGTCACAGAGGCAGGAGATTGAGACTGCTGGGTCTTATTGCATCTACAACCAAGAGAAGAAAGAAATGAATGCATTCCTGCTGTCTGCTGACTTGCTTTCATCTCTTTCTTCTGTCTTGTCCATTCAGAGCCCAGCTTATGAAACAGTGCCATCCACGTTCAGGGTGACTCTTCCATTCCACTTCAATTTCTGGCAACCAAGATAGTCCCCTATAAATATGCCCATAGACCAAGTTGATCTAGATAATTTCTCATTGAGTCTCTCTTCCCAGGTGTTGATAGGTTTTAGCAAGTTGACATGGTCCTCTTCCCTTCACTTTTCTCCTCTCCAGGTGTCCTAGGTGGGACTTGAACTTGCCATCTTCCTATCTCAATTTCCCAGGTGCTACTTTTCCAGGCATGTACCACTATTCTTTATTATGAAAACTCCTTTAGATGGAATCTACTCTCTACTTCCACTAACTTCTCATACCCCTAAGAAGCTTGTTTTGTATTATGGGCCTTAATTTTCTTTTTCTTTCTTTCTTTCTTTTTTTTTTGAGACGGAGTCTTACTCGGTGGTCTTGGTTGACAACAATAAAACTTGACTGGCAGTGATAAAACTTTGTTCATGTTATATAAGTTTTCCTCTTCAGTGGGGAAAAGATATATGAAATAAATTTCAAGTTTATAGTTTATGGGTTCTTTGTGGTTAGATAATTAGTTGTCTGTAGTTAGATATTAGTTATCTGTGGTTAGATAATTGAATATAATTTTATAAAGGACCTTATGGAATGGTTTAATTTCATGGCTTTTCTTTATTCATACTCACTACAGGTTTATTTGTGTGTGCTATTTCCTGATCCCTGATGATGCCCAAGGATAAAACACATGAATGTACCTACATTCACATGTGTTTTTTACTTGTCTTTTTGACAGATAGTAATTTTGTTAATTGACAGTGGATATATTTTAAATTTTGTAACTTGATACTGAGGAATGAAAGATTTTGTCAACAAGAAGGGCCAAGTGGATGCTGTATTACTTACTTTTCTCATTGCTATAACAAAATACCTGACAAAAGTAACTTAAGAAAGAGTGGGTTTATTTCAGATCACAGCCTGAGGGTATAGTCCATTATGGTGGGGTAAGTCAAACAGTAGGAGTGGTAAGCAGCTCACCACTTTATGCCCACTGTCATGGAGCAGAGCAATGAATGCTGGCACTCCACTTGCTTTCTCCTTTTTATTCAGTTACAAATTCTTGCCCATGAGTCTTCAAGGTGGGTCTTCCTACTTCATTTAAACCTTTCTGCATACGCCCTCACAGACATCCACAGAAGTTTGCTTCCTGGGTGATTCTAAATCCCATGAAGTTAACAATCAAGATGAACCATCATAGATGTTATCCTGAAATCATAACTGAGATCACTGGGATGCTAAAAATGTGGCATGGAGGTAGAAGAATTATGAAGAATCTAGAAGTCTTTGGGTTATTGGAAAAAGATGATTGATAGTGAAAGAGCCAATTAATCTTCAGTATAGTACAGATTTCCCTTCCTCTTCTTTTCCCTTCCTTATCCCTTCATCTTCCACCTTCATTTCTTTCATCTTTTCCTTCTATGTCCTGTTGTCCTTTTCCTCCTCCTTTCCTCTCCTTTAGTGAGGAGAATTACTGTTTTACTTTGTAGTTAGAGTTTCTGTATGCAGCTTTAGGGCAGTGGTGCACATGAATCCAGGGTGATGACTGAGTGATTTGGATGGTCAGCAATGGAGTCTACCCTGGACATACAAGGAAGAAGTGATAGCAGATGGATTGATAGGTTGTGAAGAATAGAAATAATTAGAGTGAGGGTGGGTCAGGCCTGGGATGAGAACCTGTGTGGTGGTAGGATCTAAAATAATGTCCTAGAAATAGCTAAAATGGCCCAGGTTGGAAGATGAGACCATTAGAATGATGATGTCAAGGAATTCTAACATTGAAGTACTAGTGGATGGCCTAGTGGATTGATGACTAGTGGAGCCATAACTGGTGCCAAAGACTCATGAAGTGGGCAGGAGTGTTTGAGAAGTTTGTAGATGGCAGCATTGAGGAGAGTAGGCTGAAATAGTACCCCGGAACCAAGAGAATGCCAGTCCTTCCCCTGCCCATCTGTGGTGCTGCAAAAAGACTGGGGAGAGTTCAGGGAAATTAGATCCTTCAGGAAAACCAGACTTTGGTTGAGGAAAGGAAACAACTGTTGGAGATGGTGTAGGGAATTTTGTAAGGAGTAGATCTCAGTATGTCTACTGGGAATGGCTGATCGTGATGAGGGAGTCAACGACTGGGGAAGTAGTGAGTGGGGAAGTGAAAGGAACCCATTTACCTGTTTATTCCACATAGGAGTACACAACTTGATTGGAGTAACTATCCTCAAAGAAACTCAGTCTTGGTACCAATTGAGTTTATTGTTGACACTAGCAAGCATTAATTTTTCTAGCCTGATTTCAGAGAGTAGACTAGTAGGTCTTTTCCCAGGCATGATTGCCTTGTGGTTTTCAGAGCTGCAATAATGATTTCCTTCTATAGAGAAGCTTTTAGGTATGTTTGGTAGTGAATTGATTTGGTTATGAGGTACGTCTGTCGTTGTTAAGGCTGGAGAAGAAGGAGGATCAGGCTTTTGGTAAAGCCCTTTTAGAGGGTCTGTACAGGTGTGTTCTGCTGTGGGTCTGCAGAGCTGGGCTTTGTACTTGGAATCTCTGTTGTCTTGTGTGGATCTCAAGCTGTGCTAGAGGTGTATTTCTATTTTTTTAGTTGTTTTTTTTCTTGTTATCCCAGGTTATGGGCATAGGAAATCCTACATTTCACTCTCTTTTAGCTATTTGTGTATGTCCTAAGTGTTTTAGTCATTAAAAAATATTTTACTTATTTTTATGTGTATATATGTATTTTCTGCATGTAGGTAAGTACACCCATGTCATGCAATGCCCGCGGAGGACAGACGAGACTGTCATATCCCCTGGAACTGGAGTTACAGACAATTGTTAGCTGCCATGTCGGTGCTGGGATTTGAACCCAGGTCTTCTGCAAGAACAGTCAGTGTTCTTAACTGCTGAGCCATCTCTCCAGCCCCTGTTTTAGTCATTTTTAAGAGACTATGTCCCAATGCAGAAAAGCTTATATTAATCTAAATGTGAATTTCAGACAGTACAGTTGAAGGAGGACTCATGGGTTGGAAGATGGCACAAAGCTTAATGATTTTTTTTCTTTTTTAATTTGTATGAGTGTATTGCCTGCATGTGTGTAAGTGTACCCATGTCGGGCAGTGCCCACGGAGGTCAGAAGAGCGTGTCTGATCCCCTGGAACTGGAGTTACCAGACAGTTGTTAGCTGCCATGTGGGTACTGGGAATCGAACCTTGGTCCTCTGCAAGAGTGATCCGTGCTCTTAACCACTGAGCCATCTTTCCAGCCCAAGCTGCCTGATTTTAAATAAGTAAATAAAAAACTTCATTTAAGTTTAAAAATGTCTCTGATTGTATTAACTAAATACATTTATTTTTGAACACAGTACAGGTTTAAATATATTTATAAAATAAATACTTTGTGTATGGGATAGTTTCTTTTGTCAACTTGTCACACCTGGAAAGAGGGAACCTCAATTGGGAAATTTCTTCTATGTGGTTGGCCTGTGGGCATGTCTGTGAGGCAGGTTTTGATTGTTGAGTGATGTGGGAGGGCCCAGCCCCCAGCCCACTGTGGGTCCTGCCACTCCTGGGCAGGTGGTCTTGTGTTGTATAAGAAAGCAGGCTGAACATGGGCCAGAGGAGCAAGCCAGTGAACAGCATTCCTCTCTGGTCTCTGCTTCTGCCTCCAGGTTCCCTCCCTACTTAAGTTCCTGCCTTGGTTTCCTTCAGTGATGAACTGTCACTTGGAAGAGAAAGATGAAATAAACCCTTTGCTTCCCAAGTTGGTTTTGATCAGTGTTGTATTGCAGCAGTAGAAAATAAGTAGAACGTTTTGCTGTGGTATTTTTAGAGGTGTCCCTGTGAGCAGTGCATGGGTAGATCTTGCCCCTCAAATTCCCAAGCCTGAAAAGAGCTGTTTCTAGTTGTCTTAGGGGCAGGACCTTAAACTCCTGTTTTTCTGCTCTAGGAAGTATAATAGTCAGGACAGTCAACCAAGAAATTGTTGTTATAAAGTGGAAAAGGAAATCAGTTTTATAATTGCTTCTGAGAAGAATGTTTTCTCTAAAGCCCCAAGTAAAATAAAGCTATACTTAAATTCTTTAGTTTCTATTTCTTAGGCAAATAAGTATGCTCAATTATAGATACAAAATTATTCATTCCATGTAGGAGTTTTCCTATAATTGATGACTCTAAAATAAACAAGATAAGTAAGATGCTGCCACAAATAAAATAAAGAATTAAATATTACAAAAAGTATTATTAGAGGGTGATATCTGTGGTAATGATTTATAAGAACAGTAGTTTATTATTTAAATGTTTTTGAGATGGGGAGTCTCACCATATTGCCCAGGCTATCCCTGAACTCTTGGGTTCAAGTGGTCCTCCTGCCTCATTGCTCTGGATACTGCAGACTATAGACAGACATGTGCCTGTATGGAAACTCGTGATTTTTAAAACATTATGAAGTACTTCAAATGCATGGAGAAGTATAGATAATAACATTTATAGCATATAAAAATTAATAACTGTTAATATAATCATTCATTCTTTTGTTTTTCTGTAATTGGGATCCTAGAAAATTATTATTGTACATAAAGTACACATTATTGTATAACTCTGAGACTCTTATTCTTTCCTCCTCTTTGGGGGTAGAAAAATGAACCCTAGAAGCACTAAGTAAAATGGAAAAGTATTAGAACCAGAAAAGGTTTTATTGTTAAGATCATAGGGTTTTTAACCTTGCCTGGCGTGGTGGCACACGCCTTTAATCCCAGCACTCGGGAGGCAGAGGCAGGCGGATCTCTGTGAGTTCAAGGCCAGCCGGGTGTACATAGCGAGTTCCAGGACAGCTGGGGCTACAGGGAGACCCTGTTTCAAAAAGACCAAAAAAAAAAAAAAAAAAAGTTTTTAAAGCCATTTTTCATTCCTTCTACTTCTTTGGTTAATTATGTCAACTTGTATTGAAAAGGTCCATAATTAGAGGAAGAGAGAGGAAGAGTCATATGGGTATGGGAGTTCTTCTACATGATATAAAGGACGTATTTCAGAAGCAAGTCACCAGGTGCTAAGCAGTGTTTTTTTCTGTGTATTTATCTTTATAATTTTCAGCATTTCAAAACACCCAATTGTTCAGCTACTTAGTCTTTGTAAATACTTCATTTTTATTTTAACTCTTCCATTGCTCCCAGGATTCAAAAATTTCCTCTATGGAGCGTGGGCTCCGAGACCTGGAAGAGGAAATTCAGATGCTGAAATCAAATGGGGCTTTGAGTACTGAAGAACGGGAGGAAGAAATGAAACAAATGGAGGTGTATCGGAGCCATTCTAAGTTTATGAAAAACAAGGTAATGGTGTGAGATACTTCAGTTCTTTTTTTTTTTTTTAAACAAAATGGATAAGTTTATTTTTTAAAAATTCCAAGTGATAGCCCAATGTCAATATGGATACTTTAGTTCTTAAAAGCTTGAAAAATTTATGCATATTTAATGATGAGAAAGATGTACTTTATATTTGATTAGACTTTAAGAACTTTTTCACTTGGAAACTTCCCAGGATTAACGTTAGTTACTGATATCATATAGTTATTGGAGGTTTTTATTTAAATAATATTGCTTGGTGATGTGAAATGTATTGTTATAGTTTAACTTTCCATTTCTCTCAGTACTTTTGAAATGATTTAATACAGCTATATTTAGATGTGTTTTTCTTACTAAATGAGATACCTAGTTTTTCTGCCTCTTCTTAGGAAGTGTTTTAAATCAAACCCTCAAGAGGGTGACCCAATTTTTTCCAAAACAAGTCAACCGTTTTCCTTTAAATAGAGTTTTGAAAGTGAAAGGCCTGTGCTATCCCTTAGGGAGGTCCATTTGCCCCCCAGGTTGGTTGCTTCCAGGGAAGTCCATTTGCCCCCCAGGTTGGTTGCTTCCAATTTGCTCACCACTGAGGCCTGTCACTGTGTTTAAAATCATTCATAGTAGCCTTCCTTCAGATCCAAAGTCATTTAGTTCGATTCTGTAAACTATTTAAATCAAATAAAGCGTTTATTTTATTATGGTTATCAGTGGTTTAATGAAAAATCGTAATTATAAAAGGCTGGACATGGTAGCACATGCCTGAAACCTTAGCACTTGATGGACAGAGGCAGCAGGATTGCTGCAAATTTGAGGCTAGTCTGTTCTACATAGTGAGTTCCAGGCTAGCCAGGGCTACATAGTGAGGCTCTATCTCTAAATAAATTAATAAATATGTAGATAAATACTTAGAAATGGTAAAATTTTAGATAGAAAATAAGTATTACTTCATTGTATTTCCCAAATATATGCACAATGTTTCAGAACTGAAACATTCCCAGTGGTTGACAGTCAAGGAATGCCTGCCCTGTTCAGGCTTCTGTGGTATTCATACTTGGTATAGAATATTCCTCTACTTTTTAAAGAGTTTATTATTCATGATTTCATGTTAATTTTAGAACTCAAACATTAATATGGCCAACTTTTTTTTTAGTTTGGATTTTCTCCCTGGATTTTGTCCCTGAGAACAAAATAATACTGTATTATAATCAACATTTATGCTTCTTGAATGACACATTTTAGTCCATTAAAAAAAGTTTGTGAAACAGAGATACTATCTATGTGTCTTTGAAGAGTGAATCAGGGGAACAGATTGATTATTTTGTATAAGTTACTGTTTTTTCAGAGGTCACTGTGGCTCAAAATCAGATACTATGAAGACCTAAGTTGGCACGAGTGAAAAACAATAACAATGTCGTGACAGGTAGAGCAACTGAAGGAGGAACTAAGTTCGAAAGAGGCTCAAGGGGAGGAGCTGAAAAAGAGAGCAGCTGGTCTTCAGTCTGAGGTCTTTGCCGTAAGATTTACCTCTTCGTGTGCAGTGATCCCACAGTGGGACCCTGCTAGCTCTGGCTTCTGGGTGGCTTATACTTTCATTCTCTATGGATGGCAGCTTTGCCCATTCTTAGCACTAACTGGCCTGCTCTGCTCTTTAACTGACTTCTGTTCACCAATTTGACCCGTGTCACTTTGTGCACACCGAGTCCTCATGTATTCGGGGAAAGCCCATATTTGATTCTTTATTGTTGCTTTTGCTATTCTGTGGATGATATTTCAAAATGTTTTCCCCCAACCCCTTTTTTACTAGATGTACTTGTTGACTTATATGAATGGTCTTTTTTTCTTCTTAGGTACAGGAATATGCAGATGTCTCTATACATGTCACCTAGAGCTCATCTTGCATTTGAAATTCTTGAGAAAAGTGCTTTAATTTTATATGGAGACATTATCTTTAAGTTCTCATTAGGTGACTTTGCAACAAATGTTATTTTCTACAGATGGGTAGAGAGTAATTAGTTTATTTAAAGTTATCTCGTATTTCAGAATTAGTGTGATATTTAAGTTGTTAAATCTACTTCAGCTTTCTTTCTAATGAAATTGATTTCAAAACATATGAATAAATAATAATAAAAGTCAACACTTGTATACTTGCTAGAAGCTCTTATAACCTGTGAAGATACCAAGACACATTAAAATTAATACCTGAATAAAACAGCTTAACTCTTTAGTTTTTAAGAGTGGGCCCAAATTTGGAGAACATCCATTCCCCAAGAATATCAGATCTATGCTCTGTAACTGTGTCTTGGAGTCAGGCCTCACCTATACTTTTGCTAAAAACTGTTTCTCCAGCTTCAATTTTGGGGAACTACAAACTTTGATGCACCTGTATCTTACCAGACAGTGAAGATGCATGGAACCATCTTCCAGCATTTTGATATGTTAATTCTCAAGCATTTTTACATTCATACATTATCTTGGGGTGGAGTAGCAAATTGAGGTTCTCAATAATGAAGTTCAGCTGCCCAGGTCACAAGAACATGTGTATTGAGTTTGCCAAGGTTAATTAAAAGTCATTAGTACAAATTCTGTTCATTTAAAAAATATTTTTTTATTGTATGTGTATGAGTGTATTGCCTGCATGTGCGTAAGTGCACCCTTGTGCATGTGTGTAAGTGCATCCTTGTTGTGCAATGCCCATGGAGGTCAGAAGAGGGCGTCATATCTCCTGGAACTGGAGTTATGGATGGTTGTTAGCCACCATGTGGGTGCTGGGAATTGAACCTGGGTCCTCTGCAGGAACAGCCAGTGCTCTTAATCGCTGAGCCATCTCTCCAGCCCCAGATTCTGTTAATTTTATAAAAGTCACTTCCTACAATAACCTGGTGAGATTATAGATGAGGACACCAACACGACAGAATGATGCCCAGGAAGCCACAGCTAGTAAGAGGCAGAGTTTGATTTTATAAAAGCAATATAGTTCTAGAAATTTTACATGTAAGTTCTTCATTCTCTGCCCTATATTATCCACACGTATATTAGTCAGTGTCAGAGATGGATAGAAAAACTGCTCCTAGTTGGGCGTGGTGGTGTATGCCTTTAATCCCAGCACTTGGGAGGCAGAGGCAGGTGTATCTCTGTGAGTTCAAGGCCAGCCTGGCCTACATGGTGAGTTCCAGGCCATCTGTGGCCACAGGGAGACCCTGTCTCAAAAAAAAAAAAAAAAGAAAAACTGCTCCTGGAGAGAATTTTGGGTTAACTTGCTAATTTGATATGCTTCCCATTTATGGACTACTTTGTATTATAGGTAAGAAAGTAAAATACTCTGTTTGGAAAAGTCTAATTTATAATGTGGTGTAACCATATGTTATCTAGAGAAGTTGAGTATAACTTCCTTTTTTTTCTTAGTTACTGTTATTCATTTATGTGTTATATCAGGCAGCAGGCCAAGTACAGCTCTTTAATTACTTTATTGAATTCCTAAATAACATGGTATCTTTGGTATAATTTCTCCATTGCCAGTTAGGAAATCAAGATTATTCTAAAACATATAGCCAGTTCAGCCCAAGATATAATTGCTGTCTTATGCTCTTCCTGTGTGTGTGTGTGTGTGTGTGTGTGTATGTATACATCTTTTTTTTTCTTTTTTTTAAAGACAAGGTCTCCCTGTATCCCTAGATAGTCTGGAACTCACTATATAGACCAGGCTGGCCTTGATCTCACAGAGCCCTGCCAGCTTCTGCCTCCCAAGTGCTGGGATTAAAGGTGTGTGCCACCATGCCCAGCCCTCCCCTGGTTATTCCTGAAGGAAAATTTGTGGTTCTAAATTCTTTGTGTTTAAAATATTTTCTTCCCTTTCTCAGTCTTTAAGGATCAATATAGCAAGCTTGTTTAATAATATGTCTGTGTGTATATACGTATTTTGGATTTTTTGAGAAAGGACCTTATTACATAGACTAGTCCTCAAACTTGTGATCCTGCCTCAGTCTCCTTAGCATTGAGATTTGGGCGGGTTAGGGTTAGTACCTCCATTCCTGGCTTCTGTTTATTTTTGATCTATGGTTGGAAGCAACCAGAAATTTGAATAACCTTTAAGCCATAGATCTTTGCTGAGGAAGTAAACTTTGAATATTCTGGATATTCATTTATACAAAAAATGCACTTTTAGTTCAACCTTTGTGTTGAGGATGGAGTGATACTAATGTGTGTTATGTGTTGGCAAAGAGATAGCATGAGAATCCTTAAGTGCTTCCATACAGTAAGCATGTATAAATATTTATTAGATGAATGATAACTATATATAAATAGATTTTGTATATATGAGAAAAGTGCTTGTCTTACTGAAACAGAAGACTACATCGTTTTTAGTGCTTCTTAAAAGCCTAATTGTTGGTTTTTTTTTTGTTGTTCTGGGGGTGGAATCAAATATCTGACCTTGTACATGCTAGGAAAGCTCTCGTCCTTTGAGCTATGTTCTCAGCCTAAAAGTCTAATTTTAAGGTAAAATTTGTTTTCTGTTGTGAAATTCCTTAAAAAGACCTTTTCCTTTCATTTAGGATTAGTATAATAAAATACTTTAGGACTACTTAAATTTTAAAAAAAGGACTTCAGTTTCATCAGTTTCTTCAGTTTCATGAAAATTGCTGATGTACTGTTAAATGTATATGTTCAGTAATTAATCAGTCTTTTAGTGCTTTGCCTGATGGTAGACCATGTAAAAGCAGACCTTATTTTGTTTATTTGGCTGACATTTAGAATGAAAGACTTAAAAATTCATAGAAATAGGACTGGGTCCGTGGCTCTGTGGGTAAGAGCACTTGCTATGCATGCATGAGGACGTGAGTTTACACCCCCAGAACCCATTAAAAATCCAGATGTATTTGTACATGCCTATAATTGCAGCACTTCAGGGAGGCTGGAGGCAGGGGGACCACTGGAGTTGCTAGCTGCCAGCTTACCTTTGGGTTAAGTGAGAGCCAGACCCAGTCTCAAAGGAT